TGCAGGCTACTGCTGACTGCCAGCTGCCCAGAGATTGGCAGTTCAAATCTCAGCAGGTCAAGGTTGACTCAGCCTTCCATCTTTCCAAAGTCGGTAAAATGGGGACCCAGGTTTTTGAGGGCAATATGCTGACTCTGTCAACTGCTTAGAGAGGGCTGTAAAGCACTGTAAAGCAGGATATGAGTCTAAGTGCTATTGCTACATGGATTTGTGCTGTTGTGCACAATGACCTTGGGTCATTTCCTGTACTCATTCACTCACTTTTTCTTTTAGGTGAACTGTGTGATTATGAGAGGACTCAATGAAGATGAGCTGCTGGATTTTGTTTCTCTTACAGAAAAGCAACCCCTGGATGTGCGCTTTATAGAATACATGCCTTTTGATGGTGAGTTCTTAAGATTACAAATGGGTTCAAAGACTGAGTAAAGGGAGTGGCAGATTCCCATTCCTGCAAAAGATGGTGGTAGAATATCAACTTACAGGTATCTTCAGCCTCTGTGGCATATAGGGGAATCTCTTTGGAAAGGTATAACCCCAATGTATTGGCATTGCTGGTATTTTTTTATTATTGATGTTGTATGCCTCCGATCAATTTCATGGCAGCAAAACGCAACAAATGTATTCCACGTATTCCTACATTTATATATTAAGTTTTACTAATAATACTAAATAATAATAATACTATTATTTTTACCATATAAAAAACATAAGAAATTGCACTGAAATGGGATTTTCACAGACTTCTGCTCCTTCCACTGCTACCACTGTTTTTAACTGCCTGTCATTGCATCGTAAGTATTGTCTAATCACATAGCACTCTGTTACCTCAGATGACAATGTGCTATAGTTAAAAACATGCCTTTTGTATAATAAAATACCTCCCACAGTAGGCTTATTTGATCAATAATGTTTGTTTCCTTCTTCCTTTAGGCAACAAGTGGAACTTCAAGAAAATGGTGAGCTACAAAGAAATGCTGGATACAATTAAACAGAAATGGCCAGACTTGAAAATGTTGCCCTGTGAAGAAGCTTCTAGCACTGCCAAGGTGAAAATTATCATGATCAAAGGATCAATAATCATAGTGAGCTTCTTGGTCTGCTACTTCAGTACTAGTTTGGTTAGCTATGAGGGAGAAAGAGACATGATGTGAATTCTATAGTCCTGCTAGAACAGACATATAAGGTCTGACAATTATGCTACTCATGGCTCGGTACTGTAGCTATTTATCATGTAATTTTTAAACTTATACGTCATCCATCTCACCTAAAATGACTTTAGGGGGTTTACTAGAAGATAAAAACAAATATATAAAACATTAAACTATTAAGATAATAAGTATTAATATTAAAAAGATAGCTAAAAGGAGTTAAAAGAAGGGAACAAGTTAAAACAGTTTGAGGTAATATCATCTGTCAGTCCATTAGCCATAGCCATATGACATACACACTTTGGGGTCTCAGGTGAATTGGCAGAGCTAGGTTTTAACACTCTGCAGAATGCCAAGAGGATTGGTGCAGAACTTGCCTAGAGGGGTGCAATGTTCCAGATGGCCGGAGCTATGGCAGAAAGGGCTCTTTTCCTAGACCCAGGGGGACAAATTCCTTAGCCAATGTGATCCTTAGCATGCACATACACTTGACCAATGGGGTTCACAGTATCCCATGGTAGCAACCAGTGCAACTTGCTTAACAGCAGTGTTATATGGGCCACCCTAGGGGCCTCGAGAATTGTTTGTGTGGCTGCCTTCCTTGACAGCTGCAACATCCAAATGAGAAGAATTTCAAGAGTAGCCCATGTGNCATAACAGATTTATATCAACTATTACTGATTATGACTAATGTTGAACTGTAACCCTCCTTTAAAAAATTAATGACTTTACTTTTTGTAACAATGGCACTGAATATATTGACCTAATTCACTCATAAAAGAAAGCTTTTGGCTTTCTGTTAATAAACAATAATTGAATGAACTATAATTAAAAATTTGGCAGTGCTGTCTAAAACAGATCAGAAATCTAGAATTCCTCAGAATATATAGGATTTATACTTCCATAATTTCATTAAAATAATAAGTATAAATACTGAAATGCATTAACATATACGTATGCTTCTACAGATACCCCAAGGAACACAGATGTAGCACTACAGTGCTATGCTGATAGAGAAAATATCATCATATTAGATTAGATTAATAAGGAACATCAAGAACTGTTTCAAATTTTAAACCAGATTGATCAATAAACCTGTATTGTTATTGTTCCTGGTTATTCTTTTCCTAAGTTCTTGCCCATTTTTACAGTAGTTCTGGTCTGAACAGTGTACTCGAATTTTCCATTTCAATCTTTCCAGTCTATAGGTATGACTCCAGTGCACCAGTGAAAGTATCTGAACTTAAAACTTTATTAGGTGAACTCTTAATAGTGCAGACAGTTCTTGCTGAAATTTCAGGAGCTTGAGAATTGTTCTCAACTTGGAACTCAAATAAATCTAGTACTAGAATCTAGTACTAGAATCTAATAAAATTCCATAATTGAATATCAGGTAAGGATTTATTATTAGACATTAAGATTAAATAACATGTCTCATTTGCTTTTAAATTCTAATTTAGACATTAGTTATTGTAGATACTTTAGAAAAAACTTGTGGAAAAGCCATATATTTAGATATTAAGATGATTTACTTGGCCGAAATGGGTTATTTGAGGCAGCTACATTATTCTTGAAAATACATTATACCACTTTGAAATCTTTCCTTAGCCACATAAATGAATTTCAATTGACAGCGAAATAAACTCAGGTAGATTCTGATTGTGTGGAACTCTTGTGTTTAACTTCTTGTTAATATTAATGGTGTACATTTTAGAAACAAAAATTTCTTTGGTTTGAGGATGCTGCTAGATCAGTAAAACATAAATAAAAACCTCCCCTCCAAACTTTTACAGTTTCAGTTCTTTAATTTTAAGAATGAGCAAATTTGAGAAACTCAAACTTTGAGAAAACATAAGATCATCAGAATTTCGGTGCATTAGAATAATCTATACTGATACAGTTTTATAGAAAAATAAAGAACCCAAAAGTAGCTTTACTTTACTTTAAATAAAGAGATGCAGTGGNTTTGGGGCTGCTGACCTAAAGACCTGGCTCTTTTTAATTCAACAGAAAATTCCCAATTAAGTTCATTTAATTTATGTTAAAATAAATCTAGTTCTTGTCCTGGCTCCATTTACTTAATTGTCCAGACCATACTCATTTACTAGAGGGAAGCCCTTGGGATATCAATCAAAAGCTAAGTGCAGTCCTCAACCCAGAAAAAAACAATACTTTTGATAGTATGTTAGATGCAAGTCAAACATTTTAAATTCCAAATGTCTTGACTCCTGAATGCCATTCTGACCCTAAAGTTTCTGACTTGCAGCTGGAGGTTGGAATGGCCTGTTTCAAAGTTTGACCTCAAAATGTTTGCAGATTAGTAGAACATGCTATCACTTCCAAAGCAAACATTGCGCAGGAGATATGCCCAACTTGGGAACGTTGCATGTTAGCTTCCAGTCTATACCGACTTCTAAGTTCTCATACTTAGAAGAACTTTGTAAAATTCAATAAGCAAGTCTACATTAGTACACACCCTTGTTGAGTTCCTGCAGTTCTCAGAGATGGTCTTGGGACTGTTCTCCTACTATAATAATGTGTGGGAATGAACTTGGGAGGCAGGGGGAAGAGACACAGCCAGGGGATGGTTAGATAAGAGCAGCTTGACCCATAAAAGGAAATGTGGGTATGGCCAAACACCTCAGAAAGGACCCTCTCTAATTTTTGGGCACTAAAAATGATGGGGGAGAAACATACTTTCAGACTTGCAAAATTCTGTTAATGTAACATTTCAATAAAGTACACATAGTTCATCTGAATGTGCTTCTTCTCTTGGCTATCTTGCAAAGCTGACTCCTATTATTATTTCTGGGAGTCTGGAATGGAAAGGTAGACTTACCCAAAATTGACCTGTTGATTTTAGTGGGAAGTAGTGTGTTATGGTTGTTTTCCATCTTCAAATGGAGTAGGAGTTGCATACTTGCCTCAAAATAAGGATATCGCTAACTGGCATTTCGTACAGTCTTTGCCAGTTATTGTAAGTTACAAAACTGATTCATTGTTGGAGCAACCAATGTTTTCTTTTGAAAGATAATCTGGAACTAAAATGTTGTGGGGATTTATTAAACTTTTCTATAGTGCTATATCCATATAATCTGATGGAGAGTGGAGCTATATCTCAGTTCATCTTCTATTCTTATTTCAGGTCTGCCTTTTTGGAAATTCAGAAGTGTCCTTACGGGATCACTTACGATGTAATGCCTCTGAAGAGGAGTTGATCCAGATTATTGGGGCAGCTGTTGGCAGAAAAAAGAAACAACATGCAGGTATGCCATTTTGTGGAAGTTTTTTTCTCTCTCTCTCTCCCAGATGCATAGCCAGAGCTGGACTATTAAGAATAAGCACAATACAGTGCAAAAGTCTTAAAATGAAATCAAATGTTATGAATTAACAAATAAAATGCTTCCAAATCAAAATTGATCAAGACTAAAACATCCCAGCTCTTGAATTCAAAGCAGATTATTCTAATCTTACTGGCAGAGTTCCAGTACTGTTCCATTTCATCCAAAAAAGAATTCCAGGCTCAAAATAGCATTATTTTGATCTCAAAAGACTGAGTTCAAAACTGAGATACTCAGTAGTTACAGAAAAGCTGTTTTGTGCTTGAACCATTTTAAATTATAAAGGATTTGCACACTACAATAGTTCTGCTGTACTTAATGCTGACAGGAATCAGGAAGTGTTGATTTCCCTTTCTTGCAGTCTTCTCATGTTATCCAAATATGTTACCCTGTGTTTGTTCAGAGTTCATTTTAGGCGTGTGTATGGGACAGAAGGGAGGAAAGGAATCACAAACTCTGCTCCTGCCAACTTTGATATGATGTTACAGTGTTCCGAGGCTGTCTAAAAAAAATATAAATAAAGTTTTTCCCCTAGCCACTGAAAACTTTCCTGCCGTTGTTTTACAGCATATGAGTCCTTTGATTAAGGATCATAATTGGTATTTTATTTGGGGAGTAAGTCCTTCAAATTGTGTTATAGACTGCTGTTTTTCATTTCTCATGTGAACTGTTTTCATAGTCTGGTTTTGCTTTCTATGTTTTCCCCATTCACAAGTACTACTTCAAGAGACAATTGCTTAATATTTATTACGCCAACACCCATACCATCACCAACATTTTTATTTTGTATTTTTTGCATTATTTCCATTGTTATAAAATCTGGGAGTATTAATAATTTTTGCATGTTCGTTATTTTCTTCTCAGGCATGTTCAACATTTCCCAAATGAAGAACAGGCCAATGATCCTCATTGGTGGGTGACCAATCAGTACGTAAGAAGTACTTAAGTTACGCAAGATGGTTCACAACCTGTAAACAGAGACTTAACATTTTCTAAATAAGAAATAGAAATATGTGCACGTTTTCTTCTTTAAAAGCATTATCTGGGGCATCACTTTTGGTGCACCCAGCTCAAACTAATGCTGGATGTGCATCTTGCTAATGCAGCAATATGGAGGTTTCTGAGCTTCCATTCTCCAGTCTGTAAGTGAGAATTTTTTATTACGTAGCTGTTCCTTGGGGCTCTGTACTTAAACCCACTTTAAGGTCTGGTATATTGCTAGAATTAGAAGGATGGGATATAGATAATTTGGGAAATGGGAACAATTAACTACTAGCATTTCCACAGCATGGGAGTATCATGTGGTAAACCATACATTTGGAGGTTTGCCTGTAATTGAATAAGACGTTTGTGGGGGAGAGCAAAGGAAGCTGGATGCAAAGACAGGCTCCTTCCAGCTGGTTTTGGAATGGGAAGTTGGCTGCCTACACGCAGCTATGTATCTGGGACTTAAATTATGTCTGGTAAGGCCATGCATTCTGCACCTCGGGAAAAGCGACCACTGACTTTCTCTCTGCAAATAACATAGTCTTTGCGACTAGGGTAGAACCAGCTTTGTTGTGATTTACAGACTACTGCAGGAATATATAGAACAAGTAAGACAGTTTCCCAATTTAATTTGAAGCAGATTACAAAGTTCCACGAAGGTAGCTCTTGTGTGAATCAGTAGGAAGTGGATAGAAGGTCCAAAGTCCAAGAGAGGACCGCAGTGAATGCTATGGAAAGAATATATTGTCCTATTCTCCCTCTCTTATTTTTATTGAATACTTCAGAACATTTTTTTTCTTAAAATACAGTTTAATCTTAGAGTTTTCTTTTGACGTCCTTCACATAGACTCATTAGCAGTGTGGAAGGCTTGATGAATTGCAAAAGACATTGATAAAATAATGAATATACTGTGAAACTCTGTGTTGACTTACTCTAGTTGCCATTTGTCTTCCTTTGCTTTCATGCAATCATAAGCTTGTAGTCTGTTTATGGAAACAGTCTCTCCTGCCAATCTTGGTGTGGATCTTCTCTGCTTCTTATACACTGTACAATAGCACTTAGACTTATATACCACTTTACAGTGCTTTATAGCTCTCTAAGTGAACTCCATGGTCAGCGCATTACCCCCAACAATCTGGGTTCTCATTTTGCAGACCTCAGAAGGGTGGAAGCCTGAATCAACCCATGCTATGAAAGTAGTAACTTTCACCACCACATTGCTACAATTTTACCTCTAATCATATAATAATCGGAGAGCAAAGGGACTCATTTAACAATGGTATGCTGTTGGGATAACAACATTGCAAATTTCACTCAAAGGCCATGTTGGCCAGGTCTTTGGGGAAATGGAGTCCCAACATTTTGGGAGAATGCCCAGGATTGTGTAACCTAAAGTTTACTCCCAGATCTGCAGAAGTAGACAGATTTTTACATAATGTGTTACAAAATGTCTGTGGCAGGTATCAAATGTCTCTGTGGTCTCTAATGGAAAAGGTGGGGAACCTCGGTTGTGCAAAAAGAAACCAATAGAGAGGGGAGCATTTCATAAATTGACTTCAGCAGCCAGAAATGCTATGCAGGAATTATGTGTTGCTCTTCAAATTACCCCTCTGTGAATGCAGCTGAAAACTACACGAGATCTTAGAGGTCAGGGGAGTCAATTAAAAACATATTCTGATATACAGTAATAGATATATACCGGTAACATCCACAACAACCTGGCATCTATAAAAGCTCAAAATGAAATGATACTTTTTGAATTAAATTAAAATGATTAAAATCTCGGGAGTTTCCAAATCTGATGATAATGTTTGTTTTCACTTGAAAACTTGGAGATTAGATTATCAAAACATGAAAATCAGACAGAGAGAGAGAGATCAAGACCCAGAGCCAGCCTCCCCTCCCTTACAGTAATAATGTGATTTTGTGCAAATTTGTCAAGATTCTTAATTCTCTATTGTATAAGAATTGGTCACATCTAAATAAGTTCAGTTCTAAGGAAATACTGGACTATAAGAACTGTTTCCTATTATATAGCTCTTCTTCTCCTCCACCTATTAATATCACTTATATGAACTTTTGATGGAAGAGTTGAAGATATACATGGATTATTTGTGTGTGCTGGTGCACTTTCACTTCCAGCATTACTATTGCCTGGTTAAGAACCAAAGTGGAAATTTAAGTTGTCAGCTTTCAAGATTAATTTAGTGTTTGTTCCTTTCAATTGGTTGTGAGAGGAAGAAGTCCCCAAAGTTTGCATGGGATTTATTGCCTGGTACCTCTGGAACAGCTAGTTGTATACATTCACAGTGTGAAAATAATGGTGCGAAAGTAGACTTGCTGAATTCTAATCTGTCAAAAAAGATCATGTTCTCAGATGGGCACCACATTGTTGAGCTGGGCAGGGGGAAAAAGTGACATGCACGGCGCATACTTGATAGGCTGCAATAATTTCAGACAATGGTCTTAGCTGTCATTGATCGGGGTAGGCTAATGTGTCCCCTCTGCCTTAGTTCCGGCAATTGAAAGTTGTAAGAAAGGCTCTTGCACCACCACCACCACCCCCCAAAAAAATAAACCAGAGCCATGAATGGATGAAAAATAGACAGAGCATGCTTATTTTTCTGGGGAAGAAAGAGCTTCTGCTGCATCATAAACAATTCCTGACACCCTAAAGAAATCCTCTGAAAAATATGGCAGATGGGTGCATTGAGAGGCTTTCTTAGTCTCTTAGCTATTGGAAATAAAATAGAATTGCTACCCAGAAAAAGTATCCCTGCAAAGAGAGGGGGAGGGGACACCAAAACTTTGTAAAGATACACATCATTAAAGAGATGTTTGGCTACTTCTTCCCATCTCACTTTCCTTTTTCCTCTCTTGTATCTAAAAAGCATGCCTTCCATTATGTTTTTAAAAATCGCCTTTTAACTTGGTCCTTGGCACCAGACTCTGGCAGGGTCATAGCCAAGGGATTAATGAGTGGGAGCTGATTCCCAGGAGGCTTGCAACTGAAATTGACCCAGATAAAGATAACACAGATTGAGGAAGGAATACAAGCACTTGGCAGCACCAGGCCAAGCATGACGGGCTTCTTGTTAACATGGCCAGAGCTGGCAGTTGCAGAGAACTGCTTTTAGCTGCAGGGTATGAGAATGGAAAAGTAGTTATGTTCTCTGGAAATTTTGGCTGTATCTTACAACCAGGAGGCCACATCTTGGAGTACGTGTATTGTAAAAGTTTACAGTGTCAGGGTAAACATTACTGTCTGGGTAGTCCTCAACTTACAACAGTTCATTTAGTGACCATTCAAAGTTACCATGGCACTGAAAAATGTGAATTTTTTTGCAGCACCCCCCCCATGATCATGTGATCAAAATTCATAGGCTTAGCAACTGGTTCACATTTATGACCGCTGCTGTGTCCCAGGGTCACGTGATCACCTTTTGCGACCTCCTGACAGGCAAAGTCAACGGGAAAGCCAGATTCACTTGACAGTCAAGTTACTAACTGATCAACTGCAGTTATTCACTTAACAACTGTGGCAAGAAAAGTTGTAAAGTGGGGAAAAACTCACTTAACAAATGTCTCACTTAACAACAGAATGTTTGGGCTCAATTGCGGTCTTAAGTCAAGGACTACCTGTGCTCATTCCATATCATCAAGCACAAATACTGCTTTATGCTTGGATGATATGACCTCCTTTTACACTTGCAAAGCGGGTCAGGAATAGAGGGGTGTGTTTGTCTGGACGTCAATGAAAGGGATAAATGTAAGTAAAACATCCCTGAACAGATGACTATTTTAAGCTTTTGTTTATGGAAGGCAATCTGTTCAACTGTTGAGTAACTCCTTACTATTAGTAAGTGTCTTAATATTTAGCTAAAATCTTCTTTTTAAACTCCCGTTATTCATAATACTGTCCTCAGGAACAGCATGGTAGTCTATGTTTGCTGAAATTTCAGCTATTTGAAAGCTGTTCTCATTTTTCCCTTAATTTTCTGCTCTCTAAGCTATCTGCCCTTTTCAGCCATTCTTTATTTGTCATTTCCTGTTGGATAATATCTGGGTATACTTTTAGAATATCTATAATCCATAGCTTTAAAATTCTAGGCTTTTTGTGCAAGGGATTTTTAGTTGGTGGGGGGAAGATTCTGTGGTCATTAATGACTCTGAAGTTGCTTTCTAGGGGTGTACAGAAATGTTTCATATTAGAAATACTGCATTGTTTTGAGTTCAAAGTGGCTTGTTCCAACCATCCAGGACTCAAACACTTCCATAATGGACAGAATAATCTCTCTTGAATTTGAAGCAGGATGTTTTAAATTGAAATATTATGCACGCCCTCTACTACTTTCTTATTTATTATCTAATACATCTCAGACAGCTAGATTTTCCTACTTCCATTTTAAAGGACAAGTTAAGACGGCTCAAGATTATAGAGGAAAGGATTTTGCAGATAGTAGCTGACTTATATTCTCCGTCAGCAAGAGATCCCATTTTGGGTTTTTCGTGGACAGATAAGAAAACACTTGTCCCTCAAATTTTGGTGGGATTTGTTTTTTGGGGGGGGAGGGTATGGTTTACTATTTTATAGTTGGCAGTTTTAGTGCTGTGAGTCACCTAGAGGTATGTTTAAGATCGGCAGCCATACAAATATTTTAAATAAATAAATGTCACCATCATGTATGAGTGAATTCCATCAAGAAATATAGCACTAGCTGTGTAAATCCCGTCCTTCCTTGATTGCTTATATGGTTTGACTTTCTGGATAGGTGGAATTCTGGAACTGGATTTCTGCCACCTTCAGCAGTTTTCATTGGACTTCTAAACTGATCACATCCATTGCCAACTTGGCCTTTCATTTTCCTTGGATTATTCCCATGCTGCGTATACAAATTGCATTTGAAGTACCCAAGGATTTTTTCCCCCAAATACAGATTGCCATGTAGTATGGAGACTTGTTATTCAAGAATCAGTGCCAAGTCCTATCCAAGCCCAGAATTAACATAGTCCTTTGAATTGAATTGTGGGCAGCTACTTTCTAACAACTGATAAGAATGCTGGAAAATTTTAAGAAAAGATTCCTTATGCAGAATGGTATTTTTAGAAGGTTTATTTTTCTCTCTGCTTTACGGGAATTTGTAGAACACTGCATAAAATCAACAGTAGTTTTCCTCTTCTAACATCGACTTTTGTTGCTTTTTTCCCCCCCAGAGGCAGCATCAAGGTCATTTCCACTTCTCCAAGATGCCCTGCAGGACCAAGTAAATTTGAAAGATTGGGGCCTCAGACAAGGCCACTGCCTGACTCTGAAAGAAAGTTTATTCAAACAGATGGGGAAAAAGTTTAAAACAAATATGTTTACAGGACACCATGCCTTGCCAGGATCTTACTCAGCACGACAACTCGCATCAAGGATTTCACAAGCTCAGCTCAGTAGCAATTGCTTTCTTCAGAAGACATTGAGCCGCAGCTTGAATGACAAGTGCCTTTGGACAGGAACAACTCTCTCCAAACAGGCTTCCCATGTGACTAGAGACATTCGTTCCAGGATGGTAAGCCAAGCAGAGAAGGGTTGGAGATCTCTTTCGACTGCCAAATGTCTTGGTGCCTCTGATTGTTTAACCCACATTGACCGAGAAGGCCGAGTATCAATGGTAGATGTTGGCAGGAAGCCAGACTCGGAAAGGATTGCAGTGGCTTGTGCTGTGGTCCATCTGGGTGCAAAGGTATTCAACTTAGTGCAACAGAACCAAATTAAAAAAGGTGATGTGCTGGCAGTGGCCCAGATAGCTGGAATCCAGGGAGCCAAGCTAACAAGCCAGCTCATTCCACTGTGCCATAATGTCCCATTGAATCTGGTTGAGGTTACTCTTAGTCTAAATGCAGAAAAACATAACGTTACCATTCAGGCTCTCTGCCGCACCCATGGAAAAACTGGGGTGGAGATGGAAGCTTTGGTGGCCGCCAGTCTTGCTGCTTTGACAGTGTATGATATGTGCAAAGCAGTGAGCCATGATATAATCATTGAAGATGTAAAACTCCTCAGCAAGCAAGGGGGGCAGAGGGGTGACTTTAAGCGAGACTGATTAAAAGTTTTTATTTAAGAGATTGACATACTTTATCCTTGGAATCAGAGGTGGGTTCCGACTGGTTTGGACAGGTTTGGCTGAGTAGATAGTAACTCGGCCGCCCACACACGTGAACCGGTTCTATTGTCGGCACCATCTTGATTTTTGGTTCTACGCATGCGCAGAACAATTTCCATTGCAGAAATGCATTTTTTCCATTTTCTAGTTTTTGCATTAGAATGATCATAACATTTTGTAACGTTCTGTGCATGCGCAGAATTTTTTGGGTGTAAATGTGCATACATGCACAAAAATTTTTTTGCACCGAACCGGCAGTAGTGCTAGTAGCAACCCACCCCTTCTTGGAATATAATTTTAGCAACAGCATCTCCAGTAGTAGTAACCAAAATTCTGACCATTAACCTTACTAAATCATAATTTGTTGTTTCTCTTGTTTTGGCTAATAACGTAGGCTTAGGTTTGCCTGTTTTCTTTAATGTAGCAACTGACCTTTTTGCCTGTAAGTTCTAAGTTCTTCCACTGCTTTGATTTGCAGTAATTCTAAGGATACATGTGTTTAGCCCTTTATTTCTGATTTTGTGCAAAGTTCTGGTCTTCCATCTCCTTTTAATTGCACTAAAATATTCACCCAGCAGGATTTCAGCATGAACCTTCTGTTTGAGAATATTCAGATCCAGAATTTTCAGATGAATTATGATTTTAGTATCATATCATATACAAACATTGGAAAATATAAACTGTGAGTCACATTGATCACTCCCAGCTAGACAAAATATGATTTTGAATAGTAGTTTAGTTTCAATTTCTCTTTCAAAATGGAAGGCAAATATTTGTTGGTTAGGAATAGGTACAAACTAAACTGTATACAGTTAAAAATACTGTATAGATTTCTCTTTAATCTGGATGAAAAAGTTGGTAGTTCTGTCACTTCTACTTGAGCACACTGTTTTCCTTTTTTTTCTCCTGAAGTTCTTCCTGCAGTTTCCTCAAAATACAAAAGTGCACCCATGTCCTGGAAAGAGATGGTTTGGGGCAAATCTCTCTTTTGCATATGCCCAAGAGAAAATGTGCGCTCGGTATGTCTAAACCTGACTGGCATGATGGGATGGAAAATTTGATGCCTTCCTTTCATAGCACAATAAATAAATAACCAAACAAACAATCCTAAACCCCTAGATCCGTGTTGGCGAACATATGGCACGTGTGCCAGAAGTGGCATGCAGAGCCATCTCTCCGGGCCCACCAGCGATCACCTGTTGCTCTTCTGGGTTCTAGCATGCACATGTGTACCCGCCAGCTGGTCTTCACAGGTGCATGTGCACCAGAAACTGGAAGACCAGGTAAGACCAGGTGTGCATGCCAAAAACCAGAAGCTCAGCTTCCCGGCGTGCACATGCTCTTCCAGTTTCCAGCAGTTCCCCCTGCACACACTCCAGTTTTGTTACTTGGTGCCAAAAAAGTTCGCCAATACTACCCTAGATGTTCAATCCCATTATAAACTTCATATTGACATTGAAGTGGATGTAATTCTTTGTAAGTAAGGCACTGGGGTTGAAACAAGTAGGACAAAATATCCTAAGTTTCTGGCCACAGATTCATTTTTGTTATTTATTCATTAAATTTTCTAGTCCGTTTTTCCCCGACCCAGGAAATTTTTAGATGCAAGATCCTTTAGACACAAACCACAAAGTATTTTAATTCTGAACATTGTTGCTTTAAAACTGATCAATAGCATTTTAAATGAAAGTAGTATCTTCTCCTCTTCTACAGGATTAGGAGGATACATCTTGAGGCTCATTTTGCTAATATTCCTCCCACTCTATGTGCTCTGCATGTATTTGCATAGCAAATGCTCCTTCAAGTAGGCAGAAAAAGAAAGGTTTTATTCAAGTCAATTAGAGTTTATGCAGAGGACAATCAGAGCATTATCCTTTCACATAATAATACTCAGAAGTCGGTTTCAAGGAGAGATACTTTGGATTCTCTGAATGAAGGACCCAAGGGATTGATAATATAGTGAAATAACAGTGGCATCAAGAGACATTTTGAGGTGATATTTGGAACCCAACCATTTTCAGCTAAATGTGATAAAACGTGCTCCATGCATGAGCAGACTGGGTAAAAATTGCTTGTTCTTCTATAATATTTTGCACTTTAATGAAGTCCAAAAAATGATCGTAAAGAAGTGCCTACATTTTGCTATTGTGCTTCAAAGATAAATGAAACTTGACTCTTTTCTACATTTATTTTTAGTTGATCAGAATAATTATCACAATTTCCTGGAATTGAGGGAAATGATTTATGAACATAAATAGGCCCCGAGGGGCACTCACTACTCTAGCCTCACTACTCTATCCCACTCACTACTCTATCCCAGCCATTGCTTTGGCTGGGATAAAAAACATTGGTTCGTGATCTAAGATAGAAAGTTTCTGGGAGAATTCTCCCACTTGGAACCCAAGGGAAGACTGATTTGTCTGTTTGAAAGAGATAGGGTTCTTCCCAGTACACCAAAGATACATAGGAAAATCAGAATGTAACAACTTTTTCAATTACCTTTAAATAGTTCCATATATAAGGATAGTTGCTTTTTCCCATTTTTTTTCTTAATAAATCTAATCCAAGGTGAGGGGATTTTACATTCATTGTTCATTGCCAAGGTTTATTATCAATACAGAGATTGGACCGTACAAATAACCCTTGAGTTACCACCATCTTTCATTGCAAGAAGGGACGTGCTATTCAGAGAATGACATGAGCAGTCTCAGGAAGAAGCTGCCTTGCATAGGGCCAGGCCTTGTCAGCAGCAGGACAAAAGAGGCTAAGCCCAGCAGTGCCTGCAAAGGGCAAGGGGGGGGGGTTGCACTGTGGCGCTAGGGTGGCTGGTCATGACACAGGCCTGAGGCGGTACTTTTTGGCAATGGTGGCAGCAGCACTGGAGTTGGAGTTGAGACCCAGAGTTGGGGATGGGAAGAGCCCCAATGCCGCTGCTGCAACCGAAGAGTGGCTCTATGCAGGACTACCAAAAGGGCAGAGATGGGGGGAAGGGGAGATAGGGTGGTTTCAAGAGGAAGCAGCCTGCTATCAAGGCTCGAGGTTGGGAACAACCAAGCTAGGAATGGCTTGGATCAGGTGAACCCTCACATAAGACCTGTGGCATTCAGTTAATAATGGCAACAGAGTGTCCTGGGATTGCCATCACTAAACTAAATAATATGATCACGTTACATTTTGCCTAATGGCCACATTGCTTACTGACAGAAAATCCAGCCGTAATTATTGTTGAATCTCAAGGAATAGCTGTAAGGCAATGTCAGACGTTTTTAACCACAGCCAATTAATTTAGCAGTAATCTCAAGAATTGGTTCCCCATCCTGTTCGCTGACGTTTAATTTAGAAATATGGTATTTCCATAAAGCTGTGAAGTTGGGACAATCATGACCTGTCTCATGTCATGGAAAGAACGTCTGGTTCACTTATTCACCAGAATAAGGCAAAATAATATCTAGAGCAGAAATGACTTAATTCCAAATGCATTGGTTGCCTTCTTTCTGATTATTAAAATCTTTGTAAGATTTCTGTTATTGCAGCAACTCAGAAACCATGATGGACATTAGTTCAGTTCAATTTGATATTTCTGAAAGGCTTTAAAAAAACTCCCCACTTTTCTTTTTAATTCCAAAAACCATAGTCAAACCAGAGGTGGTATTCAGCCAGTTCTGACAGGTTCTGGAGAACTGGTAGCAGAAATTTTGAGAGTTGGGAGGGAATGGGGATTTTGCTGCCATGCCCACAAAGCCATGCCCACAGAACCGGTACTAAAAAATGTTGAATCCCACCACTAATGTCAAATCATTCGTTATATCTCCACATAACCTTCTGTCAGTTTCTTGATTTGAAAATCATCAACAGAGGACATATGCTGAGGAGAGCCATTTAAAATGAATATATTTCTGTGTGAAATATCATCTTTTTCTTGCCTTTTGATTTTTAGATTGTATTGCAAATGCCTTACAAAGGAAAACAAACTTTAGGGAAGAATGTCCCAAGTCTGGGAAAAAGGAGAATGAAAAGGATACATGTCATGGGGCTGGAAATGAACAACTTTGTAGAAGGCAATTTACTTTTTCCTGTAGTTAGACTTTTCACACTATTTCCAAATAGAAATAGTCCCTTCCCCCATTTATTTATGTAATTCATAAACTATTGTT